AAATGTTTGCAGGTTAACATGATTTTTGGATTATTGCTTGATTTAAGGGTAGTATGACAATTCACTAGTACGTTAGCTCAAATCACTCACATGAAATATGTGCAATTGTGATTTCTACTTTTCTAACTTAATTTTGGCTTTATGTCTTACATGTAATAATATATAAGGAGGATATTTAAATGTACAAAATATATGAAAATCTTTAAAAACTTTAATAATTTTTTAAAATGGTGCTTAAGTTGTTTATATCTTGAGTAAAACATTTTTCTCTTAAAGCTATTGATGTATTTTCCATATGATGATGTATTAGGCTATTCCTGCATTGCTATAAAGAAACACCTAAGATTGAGTAATTTATAAAGTAAAAAATACTTACCTGGCCTATGGTTCGGAAGGCTTTTTCTTTCTCTGCCATATGCCCAGGCTGCAAATTTTTCAAAGTTTTATGCTCCACCTCCCTTTTAAATATAAGGTCCAACTTTAAGTAATTCCTTTGCTCCCTCATATATGGATAAGCTTTAGAAGCATACAGGTTACTTCTTGAATCCTTTGTTGCTTAGAAATTTCTTCTGCTAGATACTCTAGTAATCAATCTCAAGTTCAGCCTTTCACAGCCCCCTGGGACATGAACAAAAAGCAGCCAAGTTCTTTGCTAAGGCATAATATATGTGACCTTTGCTACAGTTCCCAATAAGTTCCTCGTTTCTAACTGAGACCTTGGCAGTCTAGACTTCACTGTCCATATCACTATCAGCATTTTGGTCACAATCATTTAGCTAGTCTCTTAAAAGTTCCAAATTTTTCCTAGTCTTCCTCTTTTCTGAGCCCTCTAAATTCTTCCAACGTCTGCCCATTACACAGTTTCAAAGTCATTTCCACATTTTCCGGTATCTTTATAGCAATGCTCCACCCCTGGTATCAACTTTCTGTATTAGACTGTTCTTGCATTGCTATCAAGAAGTACCTGAGACTTGATAATTTATAAAGAAAAGAGGTTTAATTGGCTTACTCTTATGTAGGCTTTTCAGGAAGCATGGTTCTGGCATCTACTCAGCTTCTAGGGAGGCCCCAGGAAGCTTACAATTATGGCAGAAGGCAAAGGAGAAGCAGACATATCACATGGCGAAAGCAGGAGCAAGCAGTAGGAGAGTGGGTGGGGGAAGGTGCCTCACACTTTTAAATGACCAAATCTCGTGAGAATTCACTATTATGAAGACAGCACCAAGCCTTGAGGGATCTGTCTCCATGATCCAAACATCTCCCACCATGCCTCACCTCCAGCACTGAGGATTACATTTCAACATAAGATTTGGGCAGGGACAAATATCCAAATTATATCAGATAGAAAATATGATATATTTTTCTAGAAGAGATTCAAACTACTGCATAAAAGTTTATAAGATTGTAAATACAGTGGTAACCCATTATTTAAACGGTTAGCTGATATCATTGTTTCTGGAAACACTGGAATTCACATATTTTTAAATGTAAGTTCAGTGTATCTTTCTGCAAGTCCATGATCTGACTTTTGAAAATTAGGTTTGTGGATTATTCTGACCTAAATATGTCTTCTGCCCTGTGAAAGAGAATGTAGTTATTGCCTAAATTTTTCTGAAACTAATTAACCTTTAAGTGGATGTCGTTGTGATAGCTATTGATATGGTTTGGCTGTATCCCCTCCAAAATTGCCTCTTGAATTGTAGCTCGCATAATCCCTGTGTTTCATGGGGAGGACTCAGTGGGAAGTAATTGAATCATGAGGGTGGGTTTTTCCCATGCTGTTCTTGTGATAGGGAATATGTCTTATGAGATCTGATGGCTTTGTTAAGGGTAGTTCCCCGGCACACTCTTTCTTACCTGCCACCATGTAAGACATACCTTTGCTCGTCCTTTGCCTTCCACCGTGATTCGTGAGGCCTCCCAGCCATGTGGAACTGTGAGTCCATTAAACCTGTTTTTATTTATGAATCACCCAGTATTAGGTATGCCTTTATAGCAGCATAAAAACACACTAGTACAGTTATCCTTGTTTTTGAATATGTAAACTGCATCCTGATAGGAAAAATAATTCTTTTAGTTAAAAGAACCTCTTTTAATATATTTTCATTTTAAATTATCCATAATCAATGTACTTTGGAATATGATACAAAAAGTGTATTTATAACACTAGGAACTAAAAGAGTTAAAGGGCATAACATAGATAATGGAAATCTTTAAGGTCGTACAGTCAAACAACTACTCCATACTTTCTCATGGAACTCAGCCTATATCACAATATGAATATGCCTTATAAGGCTGTTGAGTAATGCAAGGTTCACAGCTGACTGTGTTTGGAAGCTAACTGTAATACTGCTAGGACATATCACCTTTGTGCCACATTAATCAAATTATTGTAACTGAATTTCAGCACTTAATTTGTCCTACTTAGACTGGCTCTTCTAAGGAAGAGTATGTTCTATAACCCTTTTATTCATGAAATTAAAGTCTTTATAGTCCCATGCCAGAAAAAAATTGTCTTTATTATGAGCGAATAGATTTACTTTGTCAGACAGTTAAAATTATCTAAAATATTTACAATTTTGCCTTGGTTGCCAGGGATTTTAGAGCTATCGTATAGTGTCTATGCAGCTAAGGATTTCATATAATTATCTTCATTTTCTATCTCTCCCTTATCAGTCTTTAATTTTTAATTTAGTAAGTCTATCAGGTGTTTTTTAGTATAATTATTCTTAATTTATTCTCAGAAGTTTGTGGTAAATTCAGTTAATCTAGCAAGGAATTATTTTACTGTTAATTCTGTAATGCAATAGTGAAAAAGACAGGCTATGGCCCCAGGAAGCTGGAGAAAGATAACTTTTTCAGAATATTCCTAGGAAATACTTTGTTCAAATAGGAACTTAGCAGATGTATTTTGTTAAGCATATGAAGTACTCATGTTTAGTCTTTTATTGCTAGTTAAAAGTCAGCATTAGGATAGATTGTCATTTCCAAAGCCTGTATGTTTCTGTTTTGTGTGAGTCAGATTTCAAATTCAGGACTGGAAGCTGAGTGTCATATAATCTTTAAGATAGCAATGCATGTAGAGTTCCAGCCTTTGCTGTTCTTAATCGTCTACAGAGAGTTGCAAACCTTTCAACTTCACTCTGGGAAAGAGATGATATGTGTGATATGACCAAAGTTTGCCCAGGGAATCTTTGAAGAAGATGACAGTTTGTCTGATAGATATTATAAAATAACTTGAAAAGAGAAGATATGCCTGCTTTGAGTCTAAAAAGGCAAGAAAGCCTTTTTCAGTTGTTCATATTGTTCTTTTATGCATAAGAGGGTTCCCTTACGCCTTCTTGCAACTTTTGAATGAATATGGTCCCTTGAAAATGCATAAGGGTTTAGATTATAAACACAGTGATAGGTAGCCCATTACTTAAACGGTTGGCTGACATCATTATTCATGAAAAGTTAGAATGTACTTTGTAAATGTAAGTTAAATGTATCTTTCTCTTAGACCATGACCTGACTTTTAAAATTAAGATTATGAATGGTTCTGACCTAGATATGTTATCTGCTCTTTGAAAGAGAATGTAGTGATTGCCTGATTTTAGTAGAACTGATTACCCTTTAAGTAGATGTCCTTGTCTTTCATTTCTTTATTCTCATTATAACCATTGGCTTTCACTTATTGTACTGCTGATTGGTACGTTTACTGTGATGGGCAGAATAATGGTCCCTCTAAGGACATACGTACACATCCTAGTTCCCAGAGCCTGCGAATATGGTACATTAGATGGCAAAAGGAAATTAAGGTACAGACTGAATTACATATGCTAATCAGTTTACCTTAATTAGGGAGATTATTCCGGATTTTCTGAGTAGACCCAGTATAGTCACAAGGGAGGCAACGCAAAGGCCATAGTGAAGTAACATGAGAGGGACTTGACAAATCCTTGTTGGCTTTGAAGACTGAGGAAGGGGGCCACCAGCCAAGGAATTTGGAGACCTCTAACAGCTGGAAAAGACAAGGAAATGATTTTTCCCTGGAGCCTCCAGGAAGGAACAGAGCTCTGCTGACACCTGTGATTTTTGTCCCCCAAGTGAGACACTTGTCAGATTCCTGACCTACAGAACTGTGAGGTAATAAATGTGTTTTGTTTTAAGTCACTAACCTTGTGGTAATTTGTCATGGCAGCAACACAAACTAATATATTTACCAATGATAGAGAAAGGCAGATGAAAATCAAGGCAGTCTGTACAGGACAAAATTTAATGTGGGCTGAAGTCACAGCTCCTGCTGAGAGGGAGATGCTATGCTGTCAGTGAATTTCAGTCCCTCCTCTTACTGTTTTCCAATAATCCAGGTAATCTACAATTGGCTGATGCCAGTATAATGACTTGAAATAGGCTTCAGAACAATACACCTTTAGTTCAGTCAGCCTCCAGTCCACCCACTTGGCTATCCCCCCAGAGTAGCCACTTCATAGAACAGATTTAATCCTATTATTTCTCTTTAAACTCCGCCTTGTGATTTTCCATTGCCTTCAATACAAAATCTAAACATGTAGCCTTACATTCAAGGCCCCTGCATAACAGAAGCTTCTGCTACAGCCTTATAGCATACTTCTCATTTGTAAGCATTCTTTTTTTTTTGAGATAGAGTCTCACACCATCACCCAGGCTGGAGTGCAGTGGCATGATCTCGGCTCACTGCAACCTCCACCTTGGGGATTCAAACAATTCTCCTGCCTCAGCCTCCCGAGTAGCCAGGGTTACAGGCACCCACCACCACACCCAGCTGATTTTTTTTATTTTTAGCAGAGACAGGGTTTCACTATGTTGGCTGGGCTGGGCTTAAACTCCTGACCTCGGGTGATCCACCTGCCACAGCCTCCCAAAGTGCTAGGATTACAGGCATGAGCCACCGCGCCCGGCCCCTCATTTGTATGCATTTTATGCTTAACCAAGGTGAGGTACTATGTCTGAACCCAGCATACCATTTTGCACTTTAGTCCTTCAGATATGTCATTTCCATGACCTCCAATGGCCTTCCAGATTGTCAGACCTGCTGTCAAACCTCTATGACAAGGCACAACTCAAACATTAATGCCCTGGAAAACCAAGGAATATTGTACAGCAGGTAAATTGTTTGCTGTGTCCTTTATGACTCACTGTTTCTTGTACATGTTGTGAAATTAAAATATTGTCTTCGCATTTCATTCTTTTAGACTGAACTATGAGCTTCTTGAGGACAGCAACAGGATTTAATAACATATCTGTGGAATTTTAGCAATTTACATGGCTTATACACTAGGTACTTAATAAATAAACATTCATTGTACAAGTGATTATGTTGCCTAATCTGGCCAGAAGACACAGAGGTGCCATTAGAATGCAGGCTTCTGAATCCCAGGTCAGGTTTTAGTTGCATTCTGACTCTATAACTTAAGTACCTAAAATACCTTTTTATACCTATGTAACATTTTTTATTTTAAATATAATTTAGACAACTTATTTTGTTTCCTTTCTATCCCTTCATTTAACCCTTGTGATTTCATGGTTTTATTTTATTGAAAAGGAAAGCATCAAAATAGCTTCTGTTTTAATTTTCCCCTGCCTCTATTTGGAAGAATTATTTTGTGCAATGTAATTATTTTTATGCTTAAATCATTGTGAAGACTCTGTAACTTAGTAGAATGACATGTCAAATTCTTTTGGCTTTAAATATTTGAACTTTCTCTCAATATTTCTATTTTCTGCCTTTTTGGATTTGGTATTCATGTTAGTTTCTTAGTGATTACATATGAGGTTTGACATTGCCATACAGGTCTTTATGAAAATGTATACGGTAGAACCTGGAATCCATAAAATACTACATAAGTGAAACAAATTGTTTTCATAATTTTTGTCATCACTTTACTATCTGACTGCAAAACATTCACAATTTTCATGATGCTGGGAATAATTCCACTGGGAATTTCTCTTTTTGCAACAGCTGTCAGAATTCAGTCTTAAAATGGTTGGCATACTTTTTAGTGTGATCAGTAAAACATCCTTCATGCTGCATAGTTAATTTGTAAGTTTAGTTTACTAATTTAAAAAAGGAAAACACATTTTTTCAAGATGAATGAGTCCATGTTGGTATTAAAATTTTACATAAGAACCATCATCATTATTTTAAAAAATAGTAGACAGAAGCCATTGATGAATCTGTGAGACTTATATGTATTAAAAACAGATTTTATTTTTGAAATATTATGAAGGTGTTGATAAATATTCAGAAACTGTAGATTTTTAACGATGGAAATATCCAGCTTGGTTTAACATATTGCTTGGATATCCACTGTCTGATTTGAGTAAAGCTAACTTGTTTTATAATGGCTTCAAAAGCTAGGCAAAGACATGGTTCAGAATGTGTCTTGAGGATTTGAATTCTATCACATTTCATCAGTGACTCACCAGGAGTATTTTGCTTTCTTTGTTTTCAGGTCAATCTTAAAGTAATCAGCTGGTTTAGCTATTAATATTTCCACCAGAAAAGAAATGTTTTGTGAGAAACCTGTCATCCTTAAATGTGCCAGACATATCTTCCATTGTGCGTCAACAAACTGGCATTATGGTCTTTTAAAAGCCAGTCTCCAGTGAGTTCACTTAGCATGAAATGAGTCTACAGAACCTAATCATGCTAGAGACTTGGCTCACCAAAGAGTACCTATTTTCAGGAACCGTAAGGGATTCTCATGGACCGCATGTCAGTTTCTCATCTTTTTCTACAATGCCAGATACATTGTGACACTGTCTTACTCATTGTGTCTTTTTTGAGGCGATCCTTCACTTGTACCAAATTCTTACTATTATATTACATTCTCTTCTGGCAGTCTTTTAAGGACATTAATTCACAGTGTATGATAACTTCTGATTCATTCCATGAACTTGGAGCTTATGATAGTTTTAGTGAAACTACCAGCTGCCACTGTCCCTAGCTGTGGGATGTGCATCACTTTAGAAGCCTTCAGCCTTATCTACTTGCTCAGGTGCCTTTCCTTGATTATCCAAACTCCAAAATAAATTTATTTGAACACAATCTGTATATTGTGATCTTTTTAACAGGCAGCATGAATTCCCATGTTAATTTGATGTTATTACTATAGCTATCCATTGTTTTTTAAGTTGGCTACAGGTTTTTTTCTATTAGAATAACCCTGTTTCTTTGGATGACTATCAGTAGCAATTGTTTTATTCATTGCCTTGCAGGTACTACAGTGCAACCATTCTGCAGATGTCTGGTGTTGAAGACGATAGACTTGCAATATGGCTGGCTTCAGTTACAGCATTCACAAATTTTATTTTCACACTCGTGGGAGTCTGGCTTGTTGAGAAAGTGGGCCGCAGAAAGCTTACCTTTGGTAGTTTAGCAGGTAGGTGGCTGGATGAAGAATTCAATTATAAACTTTTTTCCCTAATAACTACGAGTTTAACCCTCGAAAATACAATACTTATACCATTTCTAATATTGGTTTCTCAGCCAAACAACAAAAAGTTAGAGTTCTTCTAGACAAAAAAATAGTCTTTAACAACTATTACAATACATGCCTAGAAACTAGAATGCGAGTAGAAACAAACTGCGAGAATAATTTGGATCTACTGAGGGTAACATTTTTCTGTTATTTTGAGTTCTACTCAAAGATACAAAAGTGAAAAAAATAATTGTTTTCTGTTCTATCCTTGTTTGAAAAAAAAAAGCTTTGGATTTGGAAACTGACTTTTTAACATATGTTATATTTTTAAATTTGGAGTAAAATGGAATTAAATTTGGAGCATTTTTTTTTCAAAGCTTTTTCAGCAGTGGAATGTTAGAACCATGCAATTTCTTCAAAAAGCAGGACAGACTCTTTTTGTGCTTGAAACAGGCCTAAGTTCCAGGACAGGTTGGTTAAATGTATTTTCTATGATGGTGAAATAAAGCAAAACCCTTTTTTAGAAAGTCTCAGATATCTTTTGTGTTTAAATTCTGCCCATTTTATTTATTATTTCACTGTAACACAAGGACGGTTTCACTTGACAGAATGGGACCCATCTTTAACATTGTCTTTTTTTTTGAGACACATTCTTGCTCTGTCACCAGGGCTGGAGTGCAGTGGCACCATCTTGGCTCACTGCAACCTCCACCTCCTGGGTTCAAGCGATTCTCCTGCCTTGGCCTCCCAAGTAGCTGGGATTACAGGCACCTGCCACTACACCCAGCTAATTTTTTTTTTTTTTTTGTATTTTTAGTAGAGACAGGGTTTCACCACGTTGGCCAGGTTAGTCTTGAACTTCTGACCTCGAGATTTGCCTGCCTCAGCCTCCCAAAGTGCTGAGATTGCAGGCATGAGCCACCATGCCTGGTCTAACATTGTCTTTACATGGTTGCATGGTATGATTTTCTAATTTTTTTCAAATACACAAGTCACTCCTATGTATCAATTAACTATACTCTAATAAGTCCTTTATAAATTTATTTGGAATGAGAATGCATTTTTCATGAAAACATGGTTTTCATTAAAATACAGGGAGTGAAGGGCTCAGAGCAGTTTAGCTGTCATAGCATTATGGTTACCAAAGAGAAAGTCTTTGTTGTTTAAACCTTGTTGCAAAAGCAGCCTCCATCATCATCATCTAGGAACCTTCCTGAACTCTTCTGGCCAATGTCATGTTCCCCTCTCAGTGTAGGTCTTCTGCCAAGGATTTCCAGAGCTCATCCCTGACAGTTAAGAGGAAGTATTAAGACAATTCCTTTGGGAAACACCAAGGCATTTCAGAGTCTGCTTCTCATGAGCAACCCATAGGCACTTTTCTTTCCTGACTCATTCTCTTTGCAGCTCAAGCCCTGCAAAGAGAATTACAGGCCTCAGTTCTGTCCACCACAAACACTTTACAGTGATTCCTCCAGCGCGAGAGGCACAGTCTATTTGATTTCCTTATTATGTGGCCAATTAAAGTAATAAGTAGATATTACAATGGTTTGAGAGGCAGAAGTCTTGGTTTCTTGTCACAGGTCTCACAGGTCTCCTCTTTTACCTGTACACATAGTAAATGGTGCCATTCGTGTGGTTCTTGTGTTTCAGTTATTAACTAGGTCCTACTAGAAGATATTGACCAATGGACCTTTACACCTTCAGAAGAAGACATACCACTCAACAACCTTGTTAACATATTAGTATTACTCCACTGTGACCCTCACTCACAACAGATTTTTCTTTCACATTCCTATACTAATTAATTCTATATTAGCTATATTTTTTATTTCAGTGTGTTGTTGTTTTATTCATTTATATGTAGGTATATACTTGATATTTTAATAGTATTAAGGATCAACATACTTATCTATGTTAAATTTCGTAAATTGGTTATAGCCTAGAATTTTTAACCTTTGATTCAGTATTGTTCCCTATTTTGTGTTTTTATTCTGATTTATTTTATTGTATTGGAGTAAAAATAGTGAAAAATGTTATATCAAGATAATTTCCTGTTAGATATTCATTCTTGTAAAATGACTACAAATAAAAAATATGTAAGCCTGGACAAAGGAACTCTTTGTGCAAAGAAATACAAAACATGTTGTCCATGAATAATTTCACATGCAGGACATTTTTGGTGTCCTGACTTTCTATATTTTCAAAGCTTGTTCAAAGAACTGGCCTTTTCTGGTAAATATTACAAATTTAATGACAAATTCTTGATTCTTTTATTATTGGAAGATTTATGTCTATGTAGCTTTATTGATAGTGAATCAGGAAGCCAGAAAGGTTGTATTTCTCCCCGTCAAGTATTTTGGTAGGGGAATATCTCTGAAAACTTCACTCACAAGCTGTCTTCATCACCATTGCCAAGTGTTCTTATTTTAAAATAGGATTATTAGACCTTAACCCAGATCTTCTAAATTAGAATTTCTGAAAATGAGGTTTGAAATATGTGCACTTTAGACAGGTTCCCTAGGTGATACTTATGCACACAAAGTGTGAGAACTACTGCTCTAGTAGAGTCACGGGGAGGGAAATTATTTTGTTTTTCTAAGTATATAGCAAGAAGCCAGACAATATCCAGTACTTACGTATTACATCGGATATTCTTAATAATACTGTTTATTCAGCACTCTTCACTTCCTGTGAAGAATATTTTTATCTGCAAAATTATATCAAATTCCAAAATCTAGCACTGTATTTGGTTAAGAGAGACTCTTCTCTTGAAAAATACAAACCTGCCAAAGGTGCACAGTGCACTGGATAAAATTCTTTCATCCAAAGCCTTCTTGTGTTGAACTCAAATTCAGGTTGTAATGATGAATAACTTGACAATAACCAGATTGATTTTAAATACTAACAAGTGACTGATAAAACATCTGTAACTTATTAGATATAAGGAAAAAGGCAATTCAAATAGTTTTATGCTTTCAGAGTATATATGAATAGATGATAAGACTAGGTGGTTATTTTAAAATTTATTTTATAAACAAAGTCATTTAAGATACCATTTCCTTCTTGTTAGGAGCTTATCATGTCTTAGGGGTTTTAGCCCTGTCTGGACATCATAACTACCTGTAGAACTCTTTAAAACTCAGATATTTTGTACCGATCTTTTGGAGATTCTGATCCAGAAGTTGGGATACATCCAGGCATTTGCTTCGAATAGGAAGCTGGGATTGAGAAACATCACTATATGTAGTAACAAAAATAAGAGTATAATGTAGGCTTTTAAAATATTTTCCTCCAAATTGGGCTGAAATAAGAATGAATTTGGCTTAAGAAGAATTAACTTTTACCTGTTTAGGAATTTTGTATATCCAGAATAGTTCATTTCTCATAATTTTTAGGTTGGTTGGACTTCTTAAGAGATAAATATAAGAATCATATTATCCATATTGCAGAACTCTCATTTAGGATATTTGTACTTATACTAACCTCATGACTTTAATTGGATGGTCTTAAGAATGTTTTTTCCATAAATAGCCAACATTGCAGAAATGTATAGAACTGTGGTTTGGCCATTCAACTAATATTTATTCAGATCTTTATATGCCAGGCACTAGAATTGGACCTTACTGAGTATGTGCTAGGTATACCATCTTAGAGTTTACCATTTTTATGGAGACAGGTTATTTAATGAGTGTTATAAAAGAAAACACTTATCTTTCCTTCACATCTTAATATATTAAAGTTTCCTGATTTAAAAAAAAATCTTGGCCAGGCGTGGTAGCTTATGCCTGTAATCCCAGCACTTTGGGAGGCCAAGGCAGGCAGATCACGAGGTCAAGAGATTGAGACCATCCTGGCCAACATGGTAGAATCCCATCTCTACTAAAAATACAAAAATTAGCTGGGTAGGTGGCATACACCTGTATTCCTAGCTACTCGGGAGGCTGAGGCAGGAGAATGGCTAGAACCAGGGATGAGGAGGTGGTGGTGAGCTGAGATCCTGTCACTCACCAGGATCTTGTTGTGTCAAAACACAACAAGACACCATCTCAAAAAAAAAAAAAAAAAACAAAAAACTTACCTGTTACATGGCAATAAAATAGGGAAGTAATTTGGGAAAATAGGGACTCAGATTTTTTGATGGGCAGATTAACAGTAAATCTCATGGTTTGTTTTGTTTTGTTTGAGGAGAGAGGTATGATTTTTATAACAGATCTACTATATCTCTTTTCTGTTTTCCAGTTTGGGACTTGATAGTCTTTTGAGAAAAGTAATGGCTCAAACTACTGGTAGTTCTGGTTTGAATTTTAAGCCAACAACAGTTAAACAAACTGTGATTTTAGTTTCATTGCATTACTATCTTAGACTTCTGACCTTTCTTTCAATCCTCCCCCTCCTTCAACTTTCTGTTCTGTTATTTTGAAGGTTTGCTGTGGCTGCTGCTGCTGCTGCTTGTAATAAAATAATCATAGCATAATAACTAACAATTTATAGCATTAAAACATCTTTCAAAAACATTAAGACATTTAAAATTCACTGTAAGCCTGTAAGTGTAGTATTTTCACTAAGCCCTATTTTACAAAAGACTGCATGGAATTATGGAAAGGTTGTGTCCCTTGCCCAAAACCATGGAGTCAGGAAACAGCAACACTAGCTAAAAACTACAGCTTTCTGATCCCAAGGTCACCTCTGCACCCATAATGCCTGGCTTCACACACCTGCTCTGTCAACTATTATATAATCCTATTGTACTTCCACAGTGCTTCTCAATGTTCTTTTTAAAATCTGTTTTGAAAATATTTTTGTTCATAATTTAAATTCCCTCCCAGCTTAACTAATGAAACCTTTACTACTACTAAATTGCCCTCCTAAATTCCCTGTTTTAAACATTTTTGTCTCATTCAAATAAGTTGTACAAACTAATGCAACCATATATATTTTTAGCTTTTATTTTAATTTCAGGGGTACATGTGCAGGTTTATTATATAAGTAAACACATGTCTTAGAGGTCTGGTGTACAGATTATTTTGTCACCCAGATAATAAGCACAATACCCAATAGGTAGTTTTTTGATCCTGTCCTTTCTCCTACCCTCTACCCTAAAGTAATCCCTGCTGTCTGTTGTCCCCTTCATGTATCCATGTGTTTTTGTCATGCAGATCCCACTTTTAAATGAGGACATGCAGTATTTGGTTTTCTATTTCTGTGTTAGTTTGCTAAGGATAATGGCCTCCAGCTCTATCTATGATGCTGCAAAGGACATGATCTCATTCTTTTTATGGCTGCATAGTATTTCATCATATTTTCTTTCTGCATTCTTCCATGACCCTTTTTGTTTACCGTCAAGTTTCTGACTCAAACAATAGTCAGAAATTTGAAAAATGTCTTATTTACCATCAAGATGTCTATCAGGGACACAAAAACTATTCTTTTAAGTTATATCACCATTCCCATATGTTAACATCAAAGACAAGTATTTCTCTTTAAATACCAACAACAAAAAAATACATGTGATATATTATTTGTTGTACCTTAAAGTCTTCATAAAAATGCTACTCCATTTTAATAAAACATACTCTTTCAGCTGCTTTAGAAATAACTTGTTCGTTAAACTAAAAAGGTTTACCAATGTAAGTCTTACATGATTGAGTATCATTAGAACAATTTTCTTGGCACCAAAAGGAACACTTGATGGAAATCTCTTGTCTTTCATACTTCCTGATATGTTAGGCACTCAATAATGTTGTCACATTAATTGATTTTGAGATTCTCAGAAATCCTAGGTGTGTGTGGTTTTTTTAAAAATCATTACCAATTTACTGTTTGTAGCAAATGTATTTGCTTTGAATTTCACTCTCATCACGTCTCTCAATGAGTATGCTAGTGAATAGTTCTGAAAATGTGTTTATACATTAGGAATTTTTTTTTAATCCTGTGAAGATAGATAAGGTATTTTTTTTAAGATGTTTTATTTTGTTTGTTTGTTTTTTAGCTTTGTTTCTACCAAACCCAGACTGCTTTAAAATACTACTGTCAACTCATCTCTAATACAAAACTTTTTTTTTAAAGGTACCACCGTAGCACTTGTTATTCTTGCCTTGGGATTTGTGCTATCAGCCCAAGTTTCCCCACGCATCACTTTTAAGCCAATAGCTCCATCAGGTCAGAACGCCACTTGCACAAGATACAGGTGAGATTTCATTATGTTCTTTCTTTACATAATTCTGGTAACTTTTTTTGCCTGCTTTTGACTTTTTTTAAGTTGTAGACATGAGTAGGAGCTTGCTAGACATCCAGGCTTATGTGGAAAAGGAAGAAAATGGGAAAGGTGGTAGAGAGGGGCCGCCAAGAAGAGGAACAGCTTGTGCAGATGTGTGAGTATAACAAATTAAGGAAAGAGTGAGTTGTTAGATACAATGTTGGGGATATTTCTCTGGAAATTAAAATTATGGATTGATACTGAATCAAAGCAGGAATACAGAAAAGGTATTTTACAGCATATATGATTCAGTGACCTCTATATTCCAAGCAAAATAAATAATTTTAGTCAGTAACTAAACTTTTATAAGATGCACATACCCTCTGTATATTCAGACAGTTTTTACTGATTTGCATGGGTATCTTCTTGTTCACTTAAACCTGAAGTCTTCCCTCAGTTCTAAGGCTCTTCTAGAGGAACAGGAAGTAAAAAGTGGTGGTGGAAAAGCACAAAATATTCTAATGGCTAGCTGCAGGCCTAAGAGCTCATTAAGTTAAACAGTGTACACACTGTGTGATATATAGATAAAAAATAGATAATGGATAGATGGACTGAGAAAACATAAATGAAAGTTTAAATGATTGGACACATCAATTGATATATTTGGCAGCAGAGTTTCAAAGTTTTAAACTTGATTTTAGCTATCATTAAGTTTAGCAACCCCTTTAAAACATGAATAGAATAAGACCTAGTATTAGCAAAAATTTACATTCCTATAGCTTGAACTAGATGGACGCAAGTCTCAAATCAATGAGTAAATGATTTACTAACTCATACAATCCTATATGAAATTAAAACATGATACACTAAACTCCACTTGGTATTCACTTAGAGCATCCAATTGAGCACGAATTCATGGTGGCTGTTCATTAAAACAGTGAGAAAGATATATTGGTCCCAAATTGTGATCTACGTACCTTTGGAAAATAGGCATCATAGCAAGTCTTTTATTTTACTGATAAGTTTAATATTGGCTTAGTGACTTTCATATTCTTTTTACTGTTCTAGGAAAACTTAAGGGTGTCTTCATAGTAGAAGTTAACCTTAGCATAGACTGTTCATGGATGCAGTGATCTTTATGTGGACATCTGTCTCAATTGCTAGAAATGCACGTTCTTTCTTGATGAATATTTTACTTACATGTTTTTAACACAGTTACTCCTCAAAAAATTTTTAAAAATTATCACTTGAGAAACAGAATATTCTCCAGATCTAATGCCTGATTTACATGTATTGTTCAGAATAAGACGGACATACTGTTGGGTCAACTAAAGTCAGAAAATCATCTAAATAATTATTACAAAAATTATCTGAACTTTTGATATAGGAAAGGAATGACCATAAGTTTTTGATGATTTACATAATAAGATAGTTTTCCCGACATTGCCTTTGAGTGTAAATAAAAATCTTTATTGCCCAACTGTGTCTCACTGCACAGCAGTTTATGCTCATTATCTGTTAATCCTTGTGATCTGTCTAAAGTATTATCATCTAACTAATGTTTTAATAGACAATTTTAGTGAAGTAAGAGAAGTGATACAGCCTTCTTTTATTCTTATTACAAAAATAAGCAGCCATTTTTGAAGATAGAACCAAATTTTAGGTGTTTTTGGGAGTCAGTGGATATGAAAAACAATTATTTATTATATGTCTTCAGAGTAACATATTAGGCTTTGTGGGAATTTGACAGTATTTATTTTAGTCTAAGTGATTTTGTAAAATAAGTCTGCAGTCCCTTACTGGTTTTTTATGGTTAAAACCATTTATAATCCTCTGCTCTACCAGCTGAGCAGTAATTGACCATACTAGTTGTTTCAAAATATCTAAAAGAGTAGAATTGGAGTGTTCCTAACACAAAGAAGTGACAGTTGCTTGAGGTGATGAATATCCCTATTACCCTGATTTGATCATTACACATTGTGTACTTGTATTAAAATATGACATATATCCCATAAATATGTACCACTATTATGCATATATAACAGTTAAGAATAAAAACCGTCTGTATACATTTCCCCTTTTCCTTAAGACAAATGGGAAAAAAAAAATCACCTAGTACCTTAAGATGAGTAAAGTTAACTCTATAAATACATGTAGTGTGCTTTCCCCATGGAATGATCCACATAGGAAAATTTAGCAAATGAAACAGATTTTAAAGGAGAAGTAGTTTACTCTTAGTGATGGTGAGAGTATAAATTGTTATTCATTTCAGAAAGTAATATGGTTCTGCCTAATAAAAGTGAAGCGCCTATGCCCATTGACTCAGCACTTCCACTTTTAGAAATCTATAGACTCCAGTGATGAGTATGTAGTTCATTCTTACTAGAGTAGAAGATTTAAGAAAGTAAATGGTTAAAGAACAATGATTCTTCTTGATTTTAATTCAATAAATATTGGTTGCATACCAGGCAAAGTATTGTAGGTAAGAGCTCACTAATGACTTGAGGTTCAAGAGATTGACAATAATTTTCAACCAGGACATCCCCTTTCTAGAATGTTTTAAGTTTTTGACTGATGTATTTTCAAGGCCTGATTAGATTCCTTGGACTGAATGTATTAAAGAACGTCTTTCAGAACAATGAGAACATAGGGACACAGGGAGGAAAATTAACTACACACACTGGGGCCTGTCAAGGGGTGGGGATGAAGGAAGGGAGAGCTTTTGGATAAATAGCTAATGCATGCAGAGCTTAATACGTAGGTGGTAGGTTGATAGGTGCAGCAAACCACCATGGCACAGGTTTACCTATGTAACAAACCTTCACATCCTGCACATGTATTCTGGAACTTAAAATAAAATTAAAAAAAAAATGCCTTTCAGATCTACTTTCAGTAGATAAAAGTGTGTACAAAGATAAACACAGACGCAAATCGCTATAGAAAATGATTGGCCACCTGTATAAAAGCTGTCACATGGTCCCAGCTGCAGCTAGAAGAAATAACTGTAGCATGAGTATCATCTAAATCATATGTCATGAGAGTTTGCACACATATTTCTTTTTTCACACACATAATTCCAATATGACCTTCAGCTCCACACTCTCAAATTACTAATGTTCTATTCCTTTCATTTCCAATTTAAAATATTTTCTCATGAGAGCTAGTCAAGATTTGAGGAATTAAACCTTTCCTAGGAACCCTTCCCTCAAATACTTGACATATTATTATTTGTAGTGTGATCTCAGTATATGTAAATCACTATCATAAAACACTTAAAAGTAGACGGATAATTCCTAAAGCGTACAGTTGTAGAATTTCAAGGTACCCCTGCCCTAGGTATTTTATCACATTCACTTATTCATTTTTCATTCATCTAAATATATTACAGATCACCTACGATGGGATTATAAGGATAAATTAACATATGGAAAATGTTTTAACAGTGCTTGGCACATAATAAACAATCAACATTATAGTCATTGTTAGAATTAGTAAAACTTGTAATAGGAGATGAGGTTGGGATGATGGGACTCAGAAAAGATTACCTTGACAATGGGATGTTTGTACTGAGCTCTGAAAAGGAGAGCGGAGTATGTCACACAGAAAGAACAGCGGGTACAAAGATCCTGCAAGGCAGTCAGGAACCTGGCAAGTGCAAGGAACTCAAAGAAGAAGACTACAGAGGTCACAGAAGAATCAGATAGGACTGTGAAGACGGGTCAGAGTTAGATCATGTAGAAACTCAGAGGTTTTTCATCTTCAGTCTAAGAACATAAATCCATTGAAGAATTTAAGCAGGGGTGTGCTTTGATTTGTAATTGTAACAATTGCTACAAGAACACATGCCCTCTCTGCCCACCCATCCAGAGACAGTTTACGATTGCTTTCAAATGTAAACTGTCTCTGGGTGGGTAGGCAGAGAGGGCATGTGTTCATGCAGGGAGATTGGATTTTTATAGTTGTCTATGAGAGAGATGACTGTTACCTGGCTTATAGTAGAAACATTGGAGATTTGCAGGTGGACAGATTCTCAGTATATTAGAGGAGAAAAATCAATAGGAAATTTAAAATAAATAATTGATTAACTATGGCCATAGGAGGAGGTAGTCTTTGATTGATTCCAAATTTCTGCATGAGAAAAAATGTAGAGTAGATCATAGAAATAAGATGCAGCAATTGGAATCTTACTTTGGACATGTGGAATCTTAGGTGTTCATGAACCATCATCAGTGGGATATTGAGTAGGTATTTGGGAAAACTGGCCTATAGTTGAGGGAGACTTCTAGAATGAAGAATTATTATCCATACATGATAATTAAATCCATAGACATGGGCAACATCTTGTTCACAATTAAGATCTTTATCAAGACTCTAGCTACCTTTGCAATTCATAATCTATTCGTAAACCACTAGTAGTTTTACTAATCCATTGGGCAGTATCTCTCCATTCTTCAGGTTTTTAATCCCAGCATAGAATCACAAACTATTCGTGCTGGAAGGCCTTTAAGAATTAACCTAATTCAGCCTTTCATCTTAAACCTACACTTATACCTTACTCAGTTTTTTTACTGAGGTCCAAATAAGTCACATTCCTCTCCTAGGGCACACAGACTAACTACTTATTCTTTAGGTTTCCTTTTCCTGCATACAGACCTTTCTTTTTTAGCTCACACAGTTCTTCAGGAGTTACTGTTAATATGAAACCAGTGATACAAAAGCTTCTTTTTCTATTCCTTTCAAACCTTGCTCTTTTTTGCTTTGGATCAAGGACATGGTTTTACAGTTAAGATGACTAGTAAAATTAGGTAATTTGACTAATTTAACAATGCAGAGCGTAGTACCTCTTTAATATAGATCTTGCTATATTTTAGACCCTGTTTGAGTAGAAATTGAAAAAAGGGACTATGTCTCTAGTTCATTATAATTTTTTTAATACTTCTCAATTGAGACCAGATGCAGTGGCTCATGCATGTAATCCTAGCACTTTGGGA